TACATTATTGGAGGGCCAACGCCCCCTCCCCCCAAGAATGGACAAATTTCGACAAAAGTATGGCACATGGGAACTTGGAAACAAAATGCTGCTTCGCGAAAGAAATGAAAAATATTATTTTCCTTTCTGTTTAGAGCTTCAACTCGGGGAGATCCCTGTCACCCAGTTACCCGGTTTAAGTATACTTTTAATATAGAAATATATATAGAGTAGAAATACTAGAGACATCTGGTGGCTTGTTAACACTACCATGGGGTGTGCTTCGTGGCAGTGGAATCGAGAATCAACTTTTTCGACCCAGAGGGAGTCCTCAACGTAATAAGCGTGTCTTGTTGAGTTGTTCGGTCATGGAGGAGTTATGCGCATGCTTGGTGGAGGATCGACAGCGACATCTATATTGCGATCCTGTCAATAAATAGGATTCGAGCAGAGTGTCGCCTCTAGGTCATTCCACGTCAAATCAACACACTACAAAACATGACCCCCTCCAATTTTAATGAAAGTTGAACCATAGCTTTGTACCATTCAGCAAGTGAGGAGTCCGAAATACTTTTGTCCTCCGTCGCTTAGATCTAAAGATAAGAGGTAAAGAGATAATTTCATAAAAATTGGAGACATTTATGTTTTGTAGTGCATTGATTTGACGTGGAATGACTCTTATCCCAAATATCCCATTGCTAATGGCAGTGATACCGAAGTTGGATACAATGGTCATATTGCCGTTATAGTCTAGAGCAGGGGTGTCAAACTCAAATCGGTCGGTGGGCCGCATTCCTAACCCTGCAGATGCCTGCGGGCCGCACCCATAAAATTTCACTGAAATTTGTGCTAACACTCAATCCACGCGGAAAATTTCAAAAGCAGACGGCGGGCCGGATGAACCACCTCAACGGGCCGGATCCGGCCCGCGGGCCGTATGTTTGACACCCCTGGTCTAGAGCATATCATATAGGGATATGACTTGATTAAATCTCATCAAAACCCAATGTGTTACCTAATTGGGGGCAATTTTTTTACTTTTCAATGACAAAACTGCCAGTATCTCAAAAGTTCTTGATATCCAAAGGTGATTTTTGGCAGACATGCTTTCCTTGAATAGGTAAGCTTGTAAGCCAATTTTTGCTGAAATAGAAGAGGAAGTATTTTTGCTAAATGATGTCATATTTTTGAGTTTAGATTTTATTGCATTGTCTTATTTTTAAATATATTATTTAAAAATCTAATACTATCAGAAAGGGCAGGAACAAACCTTTCAGAAGAACCATAAACCATTTCTCTGCCTTGATGAGCGGAGAAGTTATAAGCATATTCAGGGAGAGAGATGCTAAAAAGGTAATAAGGTGGACATTATCTTTGGCACCTCTTATCTTTAGATCTGAGTGACGGAGGAAAAAATTATTTCAGATTCCTCACTTACTGAATGGTAAAAAGCTATGGTTCAAATTTCATCAAAATTGGAGGGGGTCATGTTTTGTAATGTGTTGATTTGACATGGAATGACTCCTGTAGTTACACTCTCTACTCTATGATCTGTGAGGGGGGGAGACACTCTTCGACATCTATGAAACGCTCCAACCCTAACTCTTTTTTCAGGGAGGGTACTGCACCGCCTTAAGCTCCACATACCTTTCGATCATTTGTATTTTTTTTTAAGGAATCCACTGATCCAAAAGTGTCCTGTCTATTATAACTATCTCAAATTACACCTGATTGACAGTATTTCCATAGCATAATATGAATTCATATTCCACATTGGTTCCATTTTGTAGGTATGCTTGAACCATGTAGAAAATTTAATTCTATCACTCTAATGTTATGAATATCTACCCTGACACTGCTTCAGGTGAAGCAGTTTTGCATAGTTTATGTAGTTTTATGTAACTATTTCAAATCCTGATGTGGATTCAAGTATGAATCTGTAATCCTAGACCTAATTTTAAAAAAATGTCAAGTATACTTTACTTCTTTCAGTCCTAATTTAATGAGAAATAAACTGGAGGTCAGTGTTTCTTATGACAAACTCTTGATGATTATCTTCATTCATACTCACAATTCAAATTGGGAAGAAATAAAAATTTTCTTAAGCCATTACATAATGATTGTGGTATCCTGACATGCCTGTCAGACATTATTATTAATGAGAATATAATGGAAAAAGTTTAAATTAAGATTAATTAAAATAAATTAAAATTTTTTCACTTTCTTAAGTGGCAATTTTCCTGATGCATTGTACGAAAATCACTCTATAGTACAATGTGATAAAATTGATAGAAAAGGTCTGAGGTTGGAGATCAAGGCAAATGGGAGAAATCTACCATGAAAGCTATGGACCTGACTTATGGTGACAAAGATGAATGAAGATGTCTTAACCCTTTCAGTCCTGAATTAATGTCACTATTGGAATAATATTCTTTTTTGCATTTTGAGCTCTTTTGTGATTGTAATTGAAATTTTCATGCTTTATATGTAGTTTTTATATTTTGTATAAATTTACCACATCATACCATATATTATATATTTAATTAAATAACTGAAGATTACTAAACTAATGGGTGAAAGAAGGCCTCTGTTGGAACTAAGCCATGCATAATTGTGCCCATTTTAGCGTAATATGGAACACAAAGTCACGAGAATCCTAAGAAATTGCCATAGACACAATGTAAATGCAATGCCCATTGGAGTGGACACCAGGTCTGAAAGGGTTAAAGACATATCTTATGGGATACCCAGAAGCATTAGACTTAGGATGTCTTAAAGATATCTCTTTTGGGATATCAATAAGAATTCAGCTAAAAGTGTCTAAAAGATGTCTCTAAGGTGTCTTGAAGGCGTTCCTTTCAAGATGTCAATAACCATTTCACTGATGTCCTCGGGATGTCCTATAAATAAACACCTCGGGACTAATTGTCCAGTTGGGGACATCCCTGGGATGTCAATGGGCAATGTGGGTGACAACAAAAACAGTTCTAGAAACTCCTAACTTCCACAATTTTCCCTCCCTTGACAAGGATCAAACCTCATGCATTGCAATATATGGCATTTGATTTATTGAGCTTCTTCTTGAATGTGGCATTTGCATATCCTGATGGTGAAGTTGTTCTTGCAAAGTTAGAAATTTACTATCTGATAAAATATACACCATGTATTATGGAGGTGCCCATATTATACCTTTGTATCTCCTGACATATGATGTGTGATGCTTTGCATTGTTCTCCTCTGGTAGATGTATATCTTATTTGGTCTTACCAGTTTATGTAGCCAAGAAGGAAAAAAGCTTTATGTGCGCTATGGATTTATTCCTAGAGTAGGGATATAAAGTGGATCAGAGTTCAACCATGGAAATTACAATTGTTGAAGTACAAGTATTCTACCTGTGTTCTTGCATACTCCCCTCTGAATAAGGGTGAAGTTTGCCAAGTACAGAAGATACTGGCATTTGGTGTGGTTGTGGTAAAAATGAATTTTCTTCCAACAGGAACAATTTCCTTCGTCTGTGTGTTTTGAAGGTGTGTCAGTCAAGTGAACGTCATTTGGACAAGATCTTGAACCTGGAGGAGTTTCTTCGCCGTATCTTCTCTGTCACTCACTCAAATGATCCTGTAATTTTCAACTTTTGGCTCTCAAGAACAACTTCTGGACAACTGGAAAGTGAAGCATGAGGAGTTAAACAAGAAGTAAACTTATCTGCTGAAAAATCCATCCCAATAATTATAAAGGTTTTAGAAAAATCTAGGATATGAACAAATAGCCACAAAAAAGTATTCTTCAATGGGGAAAACTCCCATTGTTTGTAGCAGAGTATTGTAATGTAATGGTAATGAACAGTTTCAGAAGAATCAGTCCATTGGTGCAGTGCAACTTTGCCATAGTAAAACTAAGATTCTTTGCATGGCAACACTTATGTGATGATTTAGACTGACAAAATATGCATAAAATGTTACTGTATCTTTTTTTCATATCATCCTGATTCTAAAAGACAAGTTAACCCTTTGTTGCCTCAAGTATTTTGAACTTATCAGCACTGTCATCCAAGTTTTTTCTGTCCTTCATCATGAGGCCAACACAAGATAACTCGGGTGTAGACCCCAAAGGGTTATCTAATGTTATCCTGGAAAGTAGCAGAAACCATAATCATTGACATTTAAATCTGCAATTTGTGCATGGTTGGTTCTTGCATCTCAAATGCTTATGGAGGCCTCTTGTTAAAGACAAGGCAATAGAATGTGTATGAAAGTTTTGTCATAAGTTTTTCCAAATGAAATATAGAGTTTACAAGGAGCAGATAATGTATTGGTAATATTGAAAGCATTTTTTAAAACATTTATTACCATATTTGTTTTGAAAAATAAGATAACTAGACTGATACAATAAAATTAATAGGCCCAAATATGATTCAGGAATATCATTCAAGTCTACTTTTCTCTACTTTCTCTCTTTTCTTCAAATATGCACATGGAGAGTGGGCATTTTCATGCATGATGGTCTAATGCTAATCCCAGATTAGGTTTCCTTTTCCTTTTTTTACACATCAATATAGTTCTATTATAATTTTGATGGAATTCCAACTTGTAATTTCTTTGAGATTCAGCTTGATAATTGAATTGTCCCTTCAGCAAACCCATGTGGCACCCTTTTTTAATTAGTACTGCCCTCTATTTACAAGTTGCTATCACTTGAAGGTGAACCCTCTGGTAGATAGTAATTTCACTTATGTGCACTTATGGCAAAAGATGAAACTGAATCACTTGCATATGGATATCTCTCCTCTATCATATACATATCTCTTACATCTCAAAAATATCCCCAGAAACATATTGAAAGGTTATTCAAAATTTAAGAAAAGACTGTAATGGCACTTTGAATTCCATGTGTTTCAAATGAATGCCACTCCATAGTAGTTCTGTGTGTGGCTCTTGTCTTTCTGTGTGTGGCAGTCAATATTTTCATTTCAGAGCAAGATTAAAGAATTGAAAAAAGGAAACTCCATGAAAAAATGTACTATGTATACCAATGATGAGATGGATGTGGGTGTGCAGGTTGCTAGAGCCCTGACACTACGAACCCTTGGAAGCATTGCGGTGGTGATCCCTGAGCACAAAGCATCACATCATGCCGTGAGGAATGGTCTGGATTCTCACGATGCTGTCGAGCTCCAAGCTGCTATCATGGCTTCCACACAACTGGCCAAGTATTCTAAGTATGTCCATACCATATAACTTCCTCTCTTCTCATGTGACAAAGTTCTTTGTGCATGAATGCCACTGGAACTGGTAATCATCTCCACAAGTTGAAGTGAATTTTACACTTTCACTTGCTATGAATGAACTTTTGCTCTTCTTGTGAAGAGTTTGAGTTGTACCAATATTCCACCAATATTGATTCCAATATTGATTCCAGAATGGTACCTGAAGACTGACCATATTGAAATGTTCTAGTTTGCCTGTGTACATAGGTGACGATTTGTTGAGAAATATGCAGGGGCTCAGAGACAGAAGTCTTTTGCAAGTATTCCTTATTCTCATGTCCTCGCTGTAAGCCACTCCTACCAAATTTTGGGGGGGGGGGGGCTCAAGCCCTCTGAGCCCCTATGAATCGCTGCCTATGCTGTGTATCATTTGCTAGCTCCTTTTTATTATAATTTTTGCTTTTAGCATGAAAGAGTAGGGCCACCATATAATGCCTGGTGACATGTAAGCAACTGTGATTCATGATTCTGATTATCTAACCTAATGTGCGATTCCACTCCAGAGGGAATGAGGCAATCATTACTTGATTTCCCCCTTGAGAGAACCAGGCAGTGAATTGAATGGGACAATATCCCAAGACATGGATTTAAAAAGTTTTCTTTTTCATTGATGAACCGTGGAATACAATATAGCCTGTCTGCAAGACATGGTTGTCATTTCTTCTCTGAGTGTGTTCATGTGTGAGATATTGCATGTCTCTTATTTATGCAGAACATTTGCAACCAACATCTGTGAGAAGATTTCAGAGATGATGTCAGGACTTGCCCATCCCATTGTTATCAAGCTAAAACTGCTGCCCATTTTTGAACATATGCATCATGATGCTCAAACAGCTTCCACTGTGAGTCTAACATGAAATCTTTTTCATTGAAGCTCATCCTCCTTTTCTTTCTTGCTTGAACATCTTGCTCTGGCATTGTTTTTAGATATATCTGTGCTCCATGAAGCACTGGCATTGTAGAACTTAAGGTACAGGGCTATTCTTCAGAATCAAGGATATGAGAGGGAACATGCTGGTTTCTGAGGAAGTAGTAAGAAAGTATAATATTCTGAATAAAAAATGGACAAGTAAAGCTGGGGCAGTCTGTAATATAGCCTGGACACAGCAGGTTCAACACAAGCATTAGCAGGAGCAACCAGAGTTTCCAGATGCTGCAAAGAAGTTGCTGAGATTCCTCAGCTCAGTGAAATTTCACCAGAGACTGTTGAGCTGAAAGCATAAGAGGCAGAGTGAAGCAGAGTGGGTCCATGAATCTATGTACCTAATCTGTGTACCTCTAGACAGTTTTGCTTTTACTTATTGTGCTGTACATGACAGGGCCTGGGTTACCATTCCAATTCTGGGTATTGAGTTACCCATTTCAAGGTTGTCCATGAGTTCCATGTGCCTCAAGTACTTGTTATTAGGAAATCAAATACTGCAGTAATAACCAGAATATTAGTCTTCCAAGATCAGGTATCCAAAGTAACAAGGAGATGAGCCTTCTGAAAATAGAATTGACTGCATAAATCATCTGTATCTGCATCTGCAGAACTCCTTGTTTTGAACAGTGAGTATGGTACACATCTGAGCAGCATTAAAGGTTAGGTAATGAGAAGCTGCGTATGAAAAGTAATTCTCACTTGAATCTAGCCCTGAGAGAGAACTGACCTCATTTGTACCTCATTTTTCTAAGTCAATTTAATAGTTGTTGCTGTCAGGTCAGCTTTGTGTTAGACTGCCAGAAGCAGAACATTTCCAACTGTATACTTCCTTGCCTCTGGGGGTCCAAGACCATTATGAATGAATGCTGGTGGATGCACAAGCCTTGGAAACAAAGGATATTTACCTACTTTGTGGTACACCTGTATGCAGTGTGAAGGACATGAGTTTTGAGAGTGGTCAGCTGTATTGGATAGAGACTATGCTCAATAATTCATATTCATGAGGCATAACAGTGGCTTGTATCAATATCTATCTGGAAAAGTATACTTACATTGCTTGGAATCTTTTTTTAGGTCCGAAAGTTGTGCATGGATCTGCTGCCAAGCTATCCAGCCCAAGAGTTTGTCCTTGTGACTCTCCACACCTTGACAAAGCTAGCCTCTGCCACACTCATAGACATCCCTGAGCAGGTAAATTTCCTGTAGTCCTCAATATGCTTTCATTTGGGACTCCTCTATTTTTTCTGCAGTCATAATGGAATCTCAAGATTGAACAGAACCATTTTTTCCACCAGCGAAATCATTGGTTATTGGAAATATTCAGCTTTTATATATTGTCTCCCAAGAATGAAGGCTGTATTTTTATTACCATAGCTTGGTTGATTTTTACCATTGCAAGGGGGTTTGAGCTAAAAGGTGTCATTTGTGACTTCTTATGGACATCTTTTGAGACAAGGTCTCTGCACCTGTGAATATGATTGCTTTAGCTATAGGCACCTTGATGGTCCTGAAGATTCATGATCATTCCAGACCTCAATACCTATTGACTGCAGATTTTAAAGCCAATTACTTGTCAGACATGGAAAAATATTGTGTGTTATACAGCAAAGCAGCTGAGACCACTTACAACCTGTCTCTTTGTTTGAGAGGGGGACCTGACATTTCAGGGGCACAAAACATCGTCCTTCACCCTATCACCATGGCCTAGGGTCTAGGTAGACTCCAGTCCTATTTTTATGCTATTCTGCAAAAAACTATTTTACTCTGTGTCATAATTTTTGTGACACCTCTTGCTTGTGTTTCAAATATGATGCTAATAATACATAAAAATAGTACTTCATATATTATAAATATCTCTGCTGAAACTGTCACTCTCCATGCTGTACAGACAGTTGTTTTTGTCGTATGTTGTGTAAATATGTTATAAGGAGTAATGAGTGAAAATAAATTAGAGCAAAAACATCAAAATTTCAAAATAAAATATAAAAAAACTAAAAAACTAACTGAGAAAAAAACTTGAGGAAAACACAAGGGCTCCTTATAAGGCATTGCAGTATGCAGCAAATTTCCTGGTAGGTATACTGTGACTCAATACTGTGGTATTTTAGTGGTACCAGTGAGGAGCAGTGGGGGGGGGGGGGGGGGGCGATGGCTACAATACCATCATATCCTCCTCAAATCATCATCCTCAATTGACATTTTATTGAGGTATTGAGTGCTCAGGTGCACCAACACATGAACCAATGGCACAGTCAAGGACCAAGTCGAATTCTCAAATGATTGATCTTGGTCCTTGAGTCCAGATTGAATACACTCTTTTGACTTCCAAGAGGGCTTTAGTTTTCTCAAAGCAATGGGCATCACTGTGGATGGAGTTGGGGGAGGATTGTTGACATTCTACTTTTTTAAGAATGAGCATGGCACCACGACAGTGGTATGATTACAGGTGGTGTCCTTTGATTTCCATACCATGGTGGTGGTATGAACAATGGCAGTATTCTGTGGTTTTCTTACCATGACAATAATATTAAAAAAAAGTAGAATGGTATGATTATCATGAGAATCAAATGCTGTAGTATGATGAAAATACTGCTATATCACACATGCTAGTTCCTTATCGTTCAGTCTTGCATACCAAATATGCTCCACAAACCAGTCTGCCAGTCTTGCCCACATATTTGGGCTTTTTTAAAATTTAGGTCATCAGGGTAATCCAACTAGGGCTGTACCAATGGCCACATTTGGCTGATTATGATCTTATACCTATTGGCTGGTGCTGATCCTGGTGCTCATTGTGACATGTAGAGAAACAGTAAAGAATCATTTTACAAATTTGTTATTATTCGAATAGACCTATTAGGAAACCGTGTTCTGTTTTATTAGGGTTGTCATGCCAGATACTTAAAAAACATCTATGTATTGACTCTGAAATATTGATAATGCATCGATGCACCCAGGGGCTGGGTGAGAGGTGGAAGGATGCTGGTGGATTGTGTCTTTTTTTGCTGCAATTACGTGGAGGTTTGACTTCTGTAATTTCTTGCCTCAATCAAGGCACAGACCTCTATCCATCTTGCATAATTTCATGCCTGGGATTGGGGAGTGTGGAGGGAGGTGTGACCTTTGTGATGGGTGATAAAGTGCACCATGCCTCTATTGAAAATGACATCCATATATCAATATCAATGGATGAATTGGGACAGCCCTAATTTTTTCCTATTGCCATTGAAATCACTTACCAAGCCCCATTCACTTGTTTTTTTTTTTTCATTTTCTTAGTTTTGCACATTTTTCTTTGGACATCAACTCCAGCAGCTTGCAAACCCACTGATGTTGCCATGTTGGTGGCCAATACCATGGTTGCTGGTACATTGGTACGGCCCTACATTTTGGAAGTAGGAATGTTATCAAATAATATTGTGATGATTTGTATAGCTGCTAGTGTTTAACATGGAGAACCTTCTAATTGGTTGAGATGTTTTTTTTATTTTTCATGGTTCAGGTGAGTGTGTTGATAGAGTACTTGGAGAATGATCCTCAGAAAGTGGTACAGAGACAAACCCTGGAAGACCTGCACCTGCTGGCTGTGAAAGCACCCCATCTGTGGAGCAAAGGAAACCTGAATGCTGTGGTGGGCTTTGCTCTCCGTACCCCACACCAGCGTCTCAAGGTCCAAGCCCTCAAGCTCCTCATTGTTCTCTCCAACTCCCCTGCTGTCCAACACCTTGTCCAAGGTCTCCTGTTCCCATGGTCCTGCATCTTGGATTTCCATTGTTCAAATTCAAACATCTCCAGGGGGGGAAAGCAATTAATTCCCTTCCCTCCCCTTAACCTCTTAAGCCAGTAATTTTATTCACAGTATTGTTCCTGGTGCATGAAGCTGTGAGTACATACTCAGATACCAGCTTGAGGGGTTAAGTTTTCCTCATCTGCTTTCAGGTTTTGGCCATTCCATGTCAAAAAGGCAGTGTACAAAATGGTGACATATAGTTTACAGGAAACTTTACAGGCACCTGTAGGAAACTGGCACAAAATATTAGATTCCTTAGACCCCTGATCTCTGATAGGAGGTCATGAAAATTCAAGCTAAATTGGCTTCTATCTTTACCTTGATATAGTCATCCCCTTGTAACTTCTGTCCTAATTGAGTAAAGGAGCTAGAGTAGTAGCTAGTCAGTACTTAGTATGACTCATTTTATTAGCTCATTTCAAGCCCTTTTCATTGGTGTGAATACATTTTTGGCTATGTGCTGAAAGTTTACTTTTAGAGTGGAAATGACTTCATGCCCTAGAGACTTCTTGTAGCTCTGAAAATTATACAGAACTGTACTCTTGATATTGGCTGAAATTGGAATGCACGAAAGAGCTGATGTGAATGCTCACTGATATGCACATATCAACAATACCGGTATTCCAATATCTGAAATATATACAGGGTGTTTCAAAAGTCCGCACTCATGGGTATTTTGAATTAATTAAATTTCTCAATGAATGAGTGCACCAAAATTAGCACAGAAGTACTAAGAAATATTCAGAGGGGGTTATGTGCCAGGATTGATATGTGTATGCAAGTTCATAGCATGCAATTTGCAATCAGTAATCGGTAGGGCTGCAAGCTGCAGATGCTGATGTCCGAAGGTGGGGCAAAACGAAAGAAAATTACCTGAATGTGTAAACGCACAAGGCGCTGGCCCTCTTGTCTCACTGAAAGCCGCTCCAGCAGGTCTCTCCCACACAAAAATAATGATCCGATTATATTTCAGCCTGATTTTAGTAACTGGCGGGAAAGAAATAGTGCTAAAAAACGGGAAATCGTTGCACCTCCTTTTGCACTATGCATTAGCGAGAGATGTGTCATTAAATGCTCTTAGCAGCAGCAACAGGTAACAAGCTTGCTACGGACGGACATAGACGGGCTGGACAGGACTAATCTATCGTTCAGGTCTCTATCATTTTCAGGAGACCCACAGATTGTGTCGCAAAGCTTCCAAATTTTCCTATTTGAATTCGTATCCAATTTCATGTTTCTTCTCAATCCATAGACCAAAATCAGCTCTGGCACTGGCCGAGGGGTGAGAGATCAATGTCAGCCATTGGTCCACCGGCCAAATGCGGTCATCGATACAGCCCTAAAATTAATATAAAGATGATACCATTCTTGAAAATCAGTGGTTCCAAATGGAACCTATGGGCATGAAAGAGTTGACAGGAGCTAAAAATTGGTCCTGGCATTTTTACTCACACTGGCCCTCATTGAGGCTGCGGCTTATGAGCCTAAACTGATTCCTGAAACGAATTACCAGGCAGTAATTAGTGCTACCTCATTACTGGTGCAGCTGGGGGAGGTTCCTTGACTCTCGACTGCAAGGTGCTGTGGAATCGCACTGCGGGGGATGGTGATGCTATTGGAAACGTGTGTAGCTGGTTCCATCCTTAAAAAAGTCTAGTTGCGGCTCCAGGATGACAGGTCAAAAGGTCATTAAATTCTCGTAAACCGACCTGGGATGTTTCAGTATATTATAATTTATGGCAGCGGGGGTGGGGGGGAAGAGACATTTATGGAAGGACAGGGTTGTCATAGTCAGAACTTGCAATTTCCTCATCATTGCAATGCAACAATTAAGGGAAAATGTAATGAGGAATGATCGTGAGGTATTGCAAGCAGGAATGCATGGAAACGATGTCGTGCCAAGTGTCAGACAAGGAAGAGATACACGTGCTTCCAAAAAAAATATCAAAAGGTGGGGGTTTCATCTGAGCTCGACTTGAAATGCCTGGACACCCTGAATTCCATCTCCTTTGCCCTTTCTGATGAGGTCCCACTTGTAGCACCTTGTTTAATTTCTTTTATTATTTAATTATTCTTCCTCTGTTGGCTTTCTTCTCCGACCCTCATCCGTCAGTTCTTTAGTTCAGCAGCCAGAGTCATTTTTTATGCTTAAAGAGGGGAATGAATCATGCTACGCAGAACTAGCAACAGCCCCTGACCGGGATTTGATATATGCGGTCATATATTGAATCGGATCAATATATTGGTTTCACTCAATATCGGCCGATACTGATAAATGGTAAATATAGTTGCATCTCTAATTTTTACAGATGAAATATAGATACATTGTCTCCAAGTTAAAAGGATTGTAGTTCTACATGTATATCATAGATATCCATCATAAGTACAGATAGTGGTCCTCAAGTTCTTGGTTGAACAATTCCTGTATTGGTGTAATTCCATCTGTAAAGTTACCTTGGAGTGACTGCTGATCATGTGAGTCGTTGTTGAAGACTTCTCTCTTTAATACATTAATTGCCAACATGGAAATTTCAACTGTACTTTTTTCCTCTTCTGGAGGCTAATCCAATTCTGCTGCATAATACTGTTTTTTCGCTATCTCAGTACTAGCAACAACAGCCCAATCTTTGGTCTTAAACGCTATAGGAAAATGATTGGGTATGATGTGGTATGATGATATGCTTATCTGCTGGTTTTATGATCATCTTGTAACAAACTTGCTATGGTCACGCCTTTGGCGCACCATTGTCCTATATAGTGATTCATTCATTAATTCATTTTCAAGGTGGCAAAAACATGTTAAAAGTATGTGCCTCTCGAAACTTGTGTCCAGAGAGAACGAACCAATATTTTTATTGAAATAATTACTCCGATTGTTTCTTGTGTGCCTAACTTTAAATCTCATCATAATCTGCCATGAGGGGTCATAGTTGAAAAGTGGTGTCTGCACTCAGCAATTGAACAGGTATTTCTGAGCCAATTTTCACATTTCTTTAGTTCCCTCTTTCATTGGATCAGAAAGGATTCTGGAAAATGTGCCTTTTGTGGAAAAAAAGTGCCCTCAGGGGTTTTACCTTAAAATAAATTTTTTTTTTTTACTGAAATCAGTACTCGAAGAACTAGATACATACCAAGTTTCAGCCATATCCATTTGCTCTTTTTGCTGATGCAAAAATATATTTGGAAAAGCCGATGCAGCCAAAAGCTGTGCCCTGAGGGTATGCACCTCAAAACTTGAATTTCTCCTGAACTCACTATCACCTCAGTTATTGGTGTGCCAAGTTTCACCTTTCTATTTTTGCCCGATTTGGTATGGCAAAGAAAAATTATTTGAAAACGTCACCAAGAAAAAATATACCCCCAGGGCATATTTTTGTTTGCATATCCAAAACTTAAAATATTTCCTGAATTCAGTGTCATTAGGCACGTCCATGTCAAGTTTCAGTTTTCCATGTTAATCTGTTTGACTAAAGTAAAAAAAAAATATATTTGAAAACATCTCGCCTTGAAATTTGCGCCCCCAGGGCATTTACCTCCAAAGTCTAAATTTTTTTAAACTTAGCATCCCAATAGATACTTATGTATCAAGTTTCACCTTTCTATCCCTGCTCAATTCGGTTGGACAAAAAAAAGTTATTTGAAAACGTCAACCCCCAGAAATATGCCCCTGATGCATGCATCTGAAATTTGATATTTTTCCTGAACTGAAGGTCTCAGTAGGCATGTCCATGCCAAGTTTCAGCTTTCCATGCCTCTCCGTTTAACTGAAGCAAATATATATAATTGAAAACATATCCCCCCAAAATGGGTGCCCCCAGGGCATGTACCTCCGAAGTCTGATTTTTTCTGAACTCTGCATCCCAAAAGGTACAAATGTACCAAGTTTCAGATTTCTAACTTTCCTAGAACATGATTAGAATTAGCATCAGTCAGTCAGTCAGTCACGATTGTCTGTACAAAGTGGCCCAAAAAAAAGGGCACTCTTTTCAACATGCATTTTCAATGTGATGCTTTCAAGGATATTTTTCTGGTTGAATGTAACAGGAAGAAGGAGATTCAGCTACAAAATGCTTTTCTAAGACTTGAAATATCTTAAAGGATGACTTAGAAGAAAAAGATTGAATATCGGTGACTAAAAATTGACATTGCGCTCACCGACCGCATACAGTAGCAGGCACATCCAATCAGCCTCATGACATCTGCTAAGGTCAGCGTTTCCCTTCCTCTTCTCATGAGTGCAGGGACATTGAGTTAATGCTGGGTCAAGTTGGTGAGCGCAACGCCGATTTCTGGTAACCGAAATTTAACCAAAATTTTCTAGGTCATCCTTCAAGATATTTCAAGCCTGGAAAAAAGCATTTTGTACCTGAATCTTCCCTCTTTCCATTACATGCAACCAGAAAAAAAAATTATTGAAAGCACTACACCAAAAATGTGCATTGAAAAGAGTGCCCTTTTTTTTGGGCCACCCTGTATATTAGATGCCATGGTGGAATGGGTCTGATTGAAGGATAATAAATGTGCTGAGACCAACCGATGAAGGAGTTGGAGTCCAACCTATGGCATTTGCTGCATTGCAACTTACGAATGTAGTTAGACTCCTTCACCTCACAAATGTGGGTTTGGAAAGTCTGCATCTGAATCTAAATTTGTAAGTCACCAATATTGCATGTGAGACCATCTTGTTCCCCTCATTTGGCCCTATCCTTTGTATGACGCTCTTACTTCATGGAATGAATGATCATTTCTCATGGGAGGGATGTCCTCTGTGTATTATTGCATTCTTCCTATACTCTTGTGCACCCTGTCTGAACAAAATTAGAAGGAACCAGTGCAGATGGTATAACTACCTTGAATCTCATGGGGGCTATCCCATGTATAGCTGTGTCAGTCTTGTGTGCATTGACCCTGAGTGATAAGCATATTCAGAATCACTTATAGGTTTTCAGGGCCTCAGTATAGGTAGGTGATGTGATCTAGTCCATGTAGCCTTGGATGTCTCAGTAGCTAGAATGCATAAGACATACGTCTGATGCCTACTTCTTTCTTTGCCTTTAATATGTCCATTTCACTACATTTCTATTACATCCACTACAATATATTGAATGAGAGGTATTATCCCCATTTGAGTGTTGTTTCTAGGAATCCATTTCTGTCATTCCATTTCCAGATGAGAATTTGATGCAGTTGGCACTGAGCAGTTCCCATGATGCTTCAATGAGCATTGCTGCTCATGGTGTTCATTTGCTCACCAACATGGCCCTCTACTGGTATGTAGCCATGGTGCTTTCACAACTTCTGGGAAAGCTCATTTTATATGCATGTATTAAATCCTTATACAAGTGTTGTTGAGGTAAAACCTGGCCTTTATTCTGCTGTGATACAACAGGGTAAGATAAGTGCACAAAAATCTTCCTTTTTTCTCAAAGTACCTGCCTTCTGTATCTATGTTCTTGCCTCTTTGTTTTATTAGTGTTTTAATATTAGTTTTATTATATTTGGGCCAACTTTGAAGCCACTGTAGGACACAAACTAGTTCTTAGTAATTCCCTCCGAAGCACTGCCCACCCTTATGGTTCTTGAAGGATCTGAACTAGTGATAATGACTTAGAGCCCAGTACAACGATGTTAAGGAAGTTGTTCCCCTCTCTTTTGAGGCTGCAATTCAACTCCATGCAGAAGTTTTATACTCCCATGTGTGAAACATGATGTGGTTCTTGAGCACCCACAAGAATAACACTTTCCTGAATTCCAAGTGCTTAAGTAATTTTATTTCCCATTTCCTTTTGTTTATTGAGAACTGCCTTGTGATTTTCCTTATCTTTACACAATGAACCACTATGATTCACTGATTTGTGTGTGATATTCGGTCAGGTCAAATCAGCAGGTTGTGCTTGCACCAAGATGCTCATTGCTGCTGGTGCACTTTCTCCCCTTATGAAATAGTGAACACTGCTCATTTACACATCATCATGATATGGTAGTGTCACCATTGTCATCTGTAGTTATACTGTGAATTTCAGCATGTTTAGCATATTTCTTCATTGTAAATACCATGACGATACTCTGTCTCACACCGATAAAGGCAGATGCCATCTTGGTTGCAACATGTGAAGTTGCAACCGAGATGGTGATGCTACAAAGGACTTTTGAATTACAGTCAAAACTCTGTTTTGAAATTTTCATGGATCCACATGCATTGCTGCCATATATGGGACAGAAAGTTCAGATTTTACTTGAACAACCCATATATGTGAAGAGGTAATTCATTGTGTATGTTCTCTATTAGCACAGTTATCTGAAAATTTTCAGAGTTAACATTTTAAACCTCATGCACAATCTTCATGCTGCATTGAAATGAAGACAGATGGAGTGGTACTATTATCACTTTGATTCAGGATCTTCCTCTGATAGTACTGACTGGCATTTTTGTTTCTTGGTAACAGATGAGAAAAAAAGGACTAATCAGTGAAGGGACCTCATCGGCTCCCCTGATTTTTGTGAAGGTGTCCATCAGGAATTATCACTTCCACCATATGTTTCATGGTAGATGCTTTGTACAATAAAGCAAATTTTATTCTCCCACAAGCAATTGCCTCCATTAACATTTTTGGGAATAATGGGACTGATTCATATACATTACTTGTTTAATCATGTGCTACCACATGTCAAATGTATATGTACTTTCAAGCAGACCTGTTTATTCTTTTAGACAGACAAGTGTTTCATGTGTGTAACATCTCTGATTTTAGGAGGGAATAGCTCCTTGTTGAACTGTGGAGATTTTGAATGAATTACAGTGCAATGGTGGACATGTTAACACAATGTAATGCCATTCAGTTCCTTTGCATAAGAAGTGCCTATACGTACAGGGTGGCCCATGAATCCCAATCGGTTATAATTAAAGCGAAATCAGAAAAATATAAATAAATAGAAATTTAGTAATAAGTTTAGAAATATTTATTGATTATTCAAAGTACAAAATACAACAATCTCAACAAATATTCTTTCCATGGTAATCAATTACGTCAGTGTGAGCTCCATTGTGCGTATGCGTTATCATAACCGATTGGGACTTATGGACCACCCTGTAGTGTAAAAGTTTCTGAGTAATCTCAACTGACATCCATACTTTACAGGAATTTAGTGTTCCTCTGATATTGTGTATTTTGATTTTCATGGGGTAGCCCAAATCAGTATTTAGCTAGGACATTACCCTTTAACTGCTGTGAATGTGTTAAATCAATCACGAGTGTGACACTGGCTGCATTTCTTCTTGTGCTTCTTATGAGTTTTTTTCAGGATAATACAAATCAATCCATTGATACACTTACATAATAAGGTAATGAGTGAAAATTTATTTTAAAATATATACCGGGTGGTCCAAAAAAAAGTCCCAAACTTTATATGCCTGCAAATGGTGTACCGTATGAGTTATTGACAGGAAATTTACAGGCTTTTACATACAATGTTTGTAGGTAATGTAACAAAAATTTCATTGAAATTAGTTGTAAACTACGTCAGTAACAATTTTTCTCCCATGTGATGTCAAAAGAGCAAGTGTGCAATGGAATGCACCTTAACTCAATGAAAGAACTGCTTGATGGGTCCTCCATGGATGTGTTCTTGGATCACCTGCTGTGGCAGCATGCCAGCAAGCACACTGACACACTTGCTCATTTGATGACTTGTACGGAAAGAGCTCTTACTCATGTTCAGAGCTAGGAATTTCATTGAAATTAGGAAAATTAGGAAAATTTCAATGAAAATTTTGTTACAATACCTGCAAATATTGTATGTAAAAGCCTGTAAATTTCCTCTTGATAACCCGTATGGTAAACTGTCTGCAGGCATGTAAAGTTTGGGACTTTTTTTTGGGCCATCTGGTGTAAGTAGAGTACACCATGGTGCACCAGAAGGGAAAAATTAATCACTGGGATGTGTAAAGAACATGAAGATAACAGTGAAAGGGTTAGTGCATATGCCCTTCCAGCTGTAGGATCTTCCTGCCCTCCCCATCCCACACCCCAGGCTGGTAGAGCAAGATCCATTCTAACCTTGCCTAGTTCTTCTGTATCCTTTACCATGAACCCCACTGTTATCAGATGCTCCCATGATTCTGATTTTGAAACAGAATCACTGGAATTAAGAAATTCCAGATAACTAACCCTTTCCTGACCAGCCCCTGAGTAACATGTTCAAATTAAGCCAGCTGTGGCTCCCTCTTTACAGATGGTGTTATTTGTGTTGTTGGTATGTGGCAGCCACAAGGAAGGAGTGGGGATCCGGATGGTGTCTGATCTGGGTCAGGAGGTAATGAATGCTGTGGTTACCCTCGTGACCCTGACAGTCATGAACAGGGATTTCCCCATGGATCGACGCATCTTCCACTCCCTGGTCTCCCTTGCAAAGGGGATCCCCTCCCTCTGTCCACTGCTTCTCTCCAGCCTCACCCCTCTTGTCACTTCCACCCCTTGTCAGTCCCATGCTTGTTCTTTCTTCAGTAAGCCTACTCATTTCAATGTGTATCAATGTACCAATCAGGGATAAAGAATATCAAGGTCTGTTTCCACTTAAATTATTCATAATTACATACATCACTGTGTTAATATGCAGAACGCTTTCCTATGCCTAACCAATTTTATGTTTATAGACCTTTTGGATTTTGTAAATTCCTTAGAGCTACAATAATGGGAAAATTAATTATTTTCTTGTACTAGCTGGATGGGAGATCAGAAGATATTACAGGGAGGGTTATGTCAAACTAATGTCCTCAGAATTTTTCCAATGTGTTGAAGTGAGTGAGAAATCCTCTATACATATATTACTGGACTTGTCCCATAAGGGAAGTAAAGGGTGCCCATACTGTCCCAATGAGAATAATGAAGGCTACCTCACTGACTTATAAATTTGCACTCATGCAAAGGAGGGATTTGTCATTCTTGTTCATAGATATACAGAGGTGGAGGATTAAGAGAACACTTTGTCACCTCATGTAGGTGGTAGATTGTACCTTTAGGTGCCCATGTCCAATGATGTCACCTGGGATGACTTGGATGAAGTATTTTCAATTGTCATTTTTTAACCTTTTCAGTGCTATGGTTGAATATACTTGATCACCACACAGAGGGCAAGAAAACAAATTGAGTATACTCAATTGTAGCACTGATGGCATGACAACATTTAATCAAGTATATTTGCAAGGATGTGGCAGTCAATTGACTGGGTCTATTGATCAGTCAATTGACTGGTCAATTTACCAATTTCATTGATTGTTATTGACCATTTTTTATTTTATTCAATGAATTAAGACATTTTTATAAAGCTCATAACTGTGGTCGTTTATCCTCCAGCACTAAAACCAAAGAGCCTGTTCGATTCTAAAGTTATATGCATGCAGCCCGTCAAACATCTGGACTGTGGCACCCATTGGGTATGAAAATATTATAGCTAATGCTCAAACTACCATGACCTCTCACCTGAGTGGTGTATGTGTGTACAGGCATAGCTTGCTGTTCAAGGTCTTACAGCCTTAATGACTTTGAAAGTTAAGGTTCAAGATCTAAGTTACAGCTTTTGAACTTTAGTTTAATGCAAGGTCTATCATGGTCTTGGCCAATAGTCTACATTAGAGCATCAAATTATTCTCAGAGTCTGTGGTCAAGGGACAAGTTGGATTATGCCTAGGTCTGTGCCTAAAAAAAGTAATCAAGCTCTGAAGACTTCCTTGAGCAAGGCAGAGGCATTTTTTCTTACAGGAACAGGAATAAATACTTATACCAGAAATCAAGAAACTCCAGTTCTGGACACTTTGTTGCATTCCTCATTATTCAGAGTACTTATGGAGTTAAATAGTAACAGAATCTATCTCTGAAACATGACTGATAACTGTTTAATGTTATAACTCATGCAATCTGTATGGTAAAGTCTATCTTAGTGATGAGATGTTGACTGGTCAACATGGTCATCCATGATCTTGTCATCCATGATCATATAGTCATAAGGCCTCTTGTTGAGCTCATTGACCATTATTATTCATAAATGGTCATAAATGACCATGTTGACTTGTCAACTTCCCATACCTAGTCTATCACTTGTGGGTCATGAGGTACAAATGGAGCATAGACTACAGGAAAAAACAAAATAAAAGTTGACCTTATTGACCATAGTTGACAATATTGACCAATCAATTGACATGTTTTTAAGGACATGTTTTCAATTGACCAGTCAATAACCCATCCCTATTTGATTGTCTCTCTGAACAGGTTGAAAGCATTAAAAATGCAGCAATTATAAGTGAAAATCTAGTGTATGTACCAGGTGGCCCAAAAAAAAAAGTTCTGAACTTTGTGCTCCTGCAGACGGGATACCATGCCAAGCATCGTCTTGAAATTTTCACTGTGAAATTGAAATTGAAATCTTGAAAGTTTACCCAATTTACAGTAGGTATGTGGCTTTAGGAAAATTTCAATGAAATTCCTTGCTCTGAACATTAGTATGAGCTCTTTCCGTGAAAATTATAAAATGAGCAAGTGTGTCAGTGCATTTGCTGGCATGCTGCCTTGGTGGATGATCCAAGGAGGACACATCCATGGAGGAAGCATCAAGCAGTTCTTTCATTAAGTTCAGGCACGTTCATTTGCACACTTGCTCTTTTGACATCACATGGGAGAAAAATTGTTACTCATGTAGTTTGCAACCAATTTCAATGAAATTTTTGTTACATTACCTGCAAACATTGCATGTAAATGCCTGTAAATTTCCTGTCGATAACTCCTGTGGTGCACCATCTGCAGGCATGTAAAGTTCTGAATGTTTTTTTGGGCCACGCAGTATTAGGGTTGCAGCACATAGAGAAAACTCAGCACTGACTGTGCTGCTACTCACTGAAAAACTTAGTATTGAAAGGGTTAAGCATCTAATGGTGTCTTCCATTTAGCTGTAATTGGCCAGTCAATGTAAAAATGCATTTATAGATTTAGTTGTCATGCACATTCTAGAAATGCAATTCAATAGCTAATTGGTAGGTAATTTTGTAAAATTATGAAAGTAGTAATATGATTCTGGGAAAAATGGGAGTCATGATATGAAAGTACAGTACAACTGAAGGCAGCATATATTTTAGACAGAATGCAAGGGTAACTCAAGCCCTAAGGTGGTTCCTCACAAGACATGAGCAGAGGGAAATTGCCAAGGAGCTGTTCATCTGTGTGTGATGCAGTTTGTTGACAGAAGGCATCCAGAAATATTAGTGTGGGAACTTTAACAATACTTTAGTACTTACTCATGTACTTACTTTGGGAACACCTCCCAAGATGTAAGTTATTAATATACAATTCTTATGATTGGGAGGGGGAGCATTCTCAAGAGAGCACTTTCTGGGCATTCAGTTCAGAATTGAAGGCTGAGCTTCTCCTCCAAGCAGAGGGTTGGTGTTGTAGCAGTGCCTGTTTTTGGTTTGTTTCTATAGGTCAAAGAGTAGGTGTATTGTTAGAGGCACTTTGTGAAGTGAGCAGCAAGGTTAGCCTGGAGCACAGGGAGATTCTCATCAGTGGGATCATGGAACTCCTTCAGGAACTCCCAAACCTCGATCCACCCATGGACCATCAAGTCGTAGTCTGTTTCTCCCCATCTGTGTCTCATCTAGTCTAATATGAAAGTATTGCATGGAATTCCTATAAACCTCTGACAGCTACTAAGACTATGATGGCAACTTGCTATGAGTCTCATTCTTATGAGTTCCAGTTAGGCTTTTGTCAGGCTCATCATTAGAGAAACACCTTCAGCCAACTCTGCAATTCAAGACTACGTACCATACCCTATGAAGAATATTGCAATGTATGGATGTTAGACATAGATTATGGACTTTCCATGAATTCAGGTGAAGTGTTGCACACTGATGCTGCAGTGCGAGCCACGGAAGCAGCTACCAAAACTCAGGGAAGCGTTTGAAGATGTTCTCTGCCTCCTTGATCATTGGTCCCTCTATCAAATTGCAAGGCAGGCTGCTCGGTGAGTTCCCATCCTTAACTGATTTTCCCCTTCATATTAGAATGGGACCTTGGTTCAGAGTGATACTAGACTGATCAAAAAGGAACGGAATTTTCGCTGCAGCTCAAATAACACTCGTCGAAATTGTTGGTCACTCTGCAGGAGTCAACTACTGTATGTTCACTTTGCGACTCATGGTAAAAATGTCAGTGGTCTTTCGTTTAAGGAACTCTGTTGGTGATAAAAAGAAATCGCCATGGTTAGTAACTTTCGGCGGATTTTACTGGAATGCCAGCGCTGGAGCAAAGGGCAAAGATGAAGCTTTGAAAATCGTTCACTGAGACTCTCAAGCCTTTGCAAAAGATGTACGTACAGATATATGCAGCAAGTACCTGCTGTACATAGGTACATTTGCTGCAAAAGCTATAACTCAATAATGATCTTAGATGTCAGTGATGATTCCAATGATTTTACTGGTCAAGATGCAGCTATTATGGGAGTTATTTTGTTTTCCATATTTCCATATTCAGAAATCATTCTGGTCTGGGTCTGTTACTGATTTGTCATCGGCTCACTTTTGACATGTTGACAGAATGTCTGCACTGCACGCACTGTCATTAATTCTAGAAACGTTCCATTATTTTTAGAAATGGGGTTTGGCATCTTAGCATGGCCTTCATGTCTTATAATCCTTTCAATTACCGTATTTACTCATGTATAAGGCGCTTTTTTTTGCATATTTTATTGCGTTCGATGAGGGGGTGCGTCTTATACTCGAGGGAAAAAAGAATCTCATTTTCAACAAAAATTTTTTTTTTTTTTGAGTGAAACAGCAAACAGGGAGTGGCTACGTCGATTCTCGGACTTCATTCGGTATCGGAATCTGAGGTGTCTGGCTCTTGCTCTTGCAATCGTATGGGTTCGCGTCTCGATCACTCTTGGCCATTTCCTCCTTGATTACCGGAAATGATCTCTTTTTCCCCTCGAAAGGCTATGAGATTCTTCAGAGCCGGGCTCAATTTCGCCTTCACCTCCATCCGCTTCCGTATAAAGCTTTCCTCGATGTCATACTTACGACCTATTGCACGGATGCCCAACTCCTTCGCTTCCTGAATCACATGGATTTCTCTGCAGCTGTATAACATATACTGTACATCCATATTCATCCATTTTCCGTATTCATCCAGCCGTACATATTCATCCATTTTCACGGCTTATAAAACAAAAGTTAGGGATACTGTGGCCCCCCCCCCCCGTCGATAAAGGTTAGGACAGTGAATAGGGAACGAGGTTCGGGCTACCCCAAGACCGGCTTTACCCCTTATTCATCTCCCTTGTCCGACATTTTCGCTACAAAATAGGGGGGTGCGCCTTATACACGAGGAAACTTTTTTTTTTTTTACACAAATTGGGACCTCAAATGCGGGGGTGCGTCTTATACACGGTGGCGCACTATACTGGAGTAAATACGGTAAGTGTTGGAAGCAGCATTTCAAAATAGGAATAAGAAAAAAAAAGAATAATGGCCAATGAACTTAAAAAATTTGATTCTAAGAACCAGAATCATGTAGCAATACTAGATGTCATCAGGATACAAGCTGTATACGAGGAGTGGCTGAAAAGTTCCCAGCCTAAGTAGTAAGGGGATAGGCAAGGGGGTGTCGTTTATATACATTAGAGCTTGACATTTCGTGATTACATTTACAGTTTCATGACAATACTCCCAGCTGTTCATGTTTTTGCTTTAATATTTTCTACTGTTGTGGCTGAGGCAAAATGAGTTCCATTGCGGGGTTCGTTTTCCAAGCTCTCTCTTCCGCGTTTGAATTTCGCTACCCACTTCTTCACGGTCGAATAACTCGTTGCATCATTTCCCAACGTCTGCTGCATATCTGCTTGGATGGTTAACCTGTTTTCATAGATTTGAGCTGCCCCAGAATAAATCCATGCTTTGACATGTCATTTGGAGGTAATATTGTGAATATAATGAATTATAAAAACTAAAGCAGATTTTGGACTGGCACATTCCAGCATTTGTCTGGGCGGAATGAAGTTCCTTTGTGATTTGAACTCAGTTGACTTCTTTCGCGATGTTAGCCGAGAGGAATTCAGGCGGAACTTATAGAGCAGGGGTGCCCAAAGTGCGGCCCGCGGGCCGCATGCGGCCCTCCAAGGGCTTTTGTGCGGCCCGCGAGGAGTTTTGGAAAACAAATAAATTTGTTATGATGATATAAATGAATGAACGATTTTAGTGCTACGGAATGAACGACTAGGTTTAAATTCTCTCGCGGGTAAGTACAGTCTATTCCCAGTCAAAATTCTCGGATATGGAATCATCCTGACACTTTCATCGGGTAAACATGAGGCGCATAGCTGGACTTCACATCCAGGTGCGATCTGTGAGGGCGAGAGAATACGCAGGACTGCCAGATTCTGCTTCTATCTCGTCGTTAGTTTCCGTTTCCACCGTCGCTGGATGATGAGAGGCAAGATAAAAGAGGCCCACTTCGGCGAAACAGCAAGCTGAATTAGGTCAAAACCAGGAAAAATGTTTTTATTTGGTATAATATTTACCAGGCAGAAAAGCAAGTTTTCCCAATTATGCGGCCCTCGAGCCCGCTCCCTACAGGTTATGCGGCCCCGCTGACCCAAAACTTTGGGCACCCCTGTTATAGAGGATTCAGCAATGAGTACCATCACCAGACCATAAGCGTAGCGTGGATGGAAAAAGTGGGAGGGGGGGGGGGGGCGCCAGGGCCGTTTCTAGACATATTGGCACCCAGGGCAATGAGTTCCTATGGCGCGCCCCCTCTCCCAACCAACTACCGCACGAAGCACCACTGCAACTCTGGCGATAATGGTCTTATCCCCGGAAGCTGACAGGGAGCCGGAACTGATGGAAATCATTTTGTTACATTTCTATTTTAAAAAATCCAAAGCCAAGTCAAGTCAAGGCATTTACTACCAAAGCTGATAATATCTATCTACACGAATACACCGTAACTAAATACTCCTATGATGTGATAGATTAACTCAACAGTTCACTCCAGGCAAACAGATTCAGTTTTTTAATTGTAAGGATATCAATTAACACAGTATATTACATTATGACATTGATTTTTTTTTTAAATCACATTTAGTAGGACACACTTATGCTGTAGTCGAGGTGTAATCCTAACTCCTGGACACTGTCGAAGGATTCAATCTTTTAATTTCAAAAGCGAAAGATTTGACTTCTGTCGTTTCTTGCCTCGATCGGGGCCCGAAATAATCTCGCGCTTGTGATCGGGGGGAAGGTGTGACCTTCGCAACGAGTAATGAAGCCTACCATGCCCCCAACAATCGAAAGTGACATCCATTCATCGATGGATGCATCGGGACGACCCTAATTTTTTATTATTGCCGTTGAGAATCAGTTACCAAGATCATCTTTTTTTTCTCTCCTTTTCTTCGTTCTACGCAGTCTTCTTTGGACATCGGCACCAGCAGGTAGCAAACCTGCTGACGGTGTCATACCGGCGGTTGCCGAAACATCGGTACAGCCCAAGATTCAAGCGACGTCCATGTAAAATATTAATATTCACTTTTGGTCAAGTAAAGAGTTAAATTCCCCAGGGCAAGTTAGCAATTAAAAAACTCAAGCCTGTTTAATAAAGAGAAAGAGGAATATAGAGGATTAACTGATGTACGTTTTGAAATGAAGGGAGTAAATGAACAGTCCACTTTTACAGCATGCACCTGATGAGATTGAGCCGGAGACTGACAAGGAAGAGAAAATATACAGTATATATACTCAGTCTTCCCTCCCTCTCCTTTCCCGCTTCCTGCCTCCGATTCAAGCTTTTTTTCCCTTCCATCTTTCATATAGTCAGTCCCAGAATTTCCAGAATTTGATCGTGATAAGAAATTGCACGCTCGTGCGGGTCACGCCGCCTCTTTCTTTCCTCGCCCGGACGGACTGTGTACTGTACTCGTCTCAATCCAATGACATTTCCTTTCAAAAATTTAGCCGATACATCGCGATGGTCGAAAAACCATCGATAGTGGTATCGATGCATCGACCTATCATGACAGCCCTACTCGATACCCACGGCCCAGTCGCAGCGTGGCTTCAAGCCGCATGTACGAAGGGAAGGTTGGAGGGGGAGGGGGGGAGGAGCGCTTCTGCCCGATTTTGAAACTGATAGACTCTGGCACGCTGGTAGGAGGCTGCACGACATAATATGAAATATTATTAATTTTAATTTAAAAATTTTCCCTCTCGTTCCGATTAGCGCTAGTTCGCATAAAGTGAACGATAACCACATAAAAACTTTTATTATTGTGTTTCTTTGCGCGCCCCCCCTTTTTCCGCTGGCACCCCGGGCGATCGCCCGCTTCGCCCACCCTTAGAAACGGCCCTGGGGGGGGCTCGGGCACGGGAACTCTGGGATACTGTTATGCATTTCCTGCTTTTTTTATTATTACTTATTCTCTTGAAAAGTGGAGGGGCCCGTACCCCTCCCCGACACTACACCAATGCACCAGACTGCATCACTGTCCCACCCTGAAGTTCCATGCATAACATAAGCATTGGTCACCATACTTAGACCACTTGAGAATTAAAATTTGTATATTTGAGATCATTGGACAATATCAGCTAAATAATTAGGATAACAGAATTTATGGAAAAAAGTTGAGATATTGAGAAACAGGAGACGTACAGGAACAGAAGAGTTAGTACAATGGTGGTTACGATGGCGGCTCTCAGACAAAAATCTGAGGAGGTCGGCTTATAATGAACAAGAATTCATCATGGTATTAATGGGAGCATGAAGCACGAAATGTGTGTTAGGTCAGTCGTTGAGAGAGAAACCGTTAGATGTTTGCAGTTCATATTGTATCGAAATCACGCAAGAGCAGAGTGGAAATCCATCGAAAAATTGAGTGGGAGAAGAGGCACATCCGGCCCGAGGAGAAAGGTAGTGGTCTGGCGACTTTCTCTCCTTGCGAGTTTCACAATTTCTAATCAAAGTCGCATCCAGCACACATAGCAATATCATAATTATGTGTAATATATATTGTGCCTTTTTCATCCATGGCAACAGCGTAGATATAAATTGGCAATGCGAATTTTGATGACCGAAAAGCGCTCTACTTGAGGCATATGAGCCTAAAGACATGCTTTCTCTTTCTAGCAGGCACCTGCTCATGCGTAATGCAGACGGTGAAGTCGGTTCCCTGCTCACGTATACTACTGTATTGCTAGTGCCACAGGATACATACATACATACATTTTTTAAGCCGCTTTTCCCAATTTAATGGGGTCGCGGTTCGAGCATTTCCAGGAGCGTCCTCCAGTGATCTCGATCCTGGGCAACAGACTCAAGCTCAGCTGGTGGGATGCCGAGCCTCTCGTGACAAAGCCGAGCGACGTGATCACTCCACCTTGTACGAGGTCTACCGACTGGTCTTTTGCTGGTCATCTTGGCCTGGAAGACTCCTCTTGGGAGCCTCTCAGGAGGCATGCGGCAGACGTGTCCAAACCACCTAGCCTGAGACCTCTCGATCCTGAGAAGCAGCTGCTCGACGTGGATGGCAGAGTTCCGCATCCGATCACGGCGCGTTACGTCAGCCACTCGACACAAGAACCTCATTTCGGCAGCTTGTATCCACGATCTGGTGCTTTCGGTCATTACCCAAAGTTCATGACCATAGGTGAGGGTGGGGGGGATAAACACTCTTCAAAACCGAGAGTTTCGCTTCCCGAGAAACTTCCGATCTGGCAACCACGGTTCGCCAAAGTTCCCGCAGAACTGCAGAAGCCTTGGAGATGCGGTTGTGGATCTCGTTTCCGTGTCGCCCATCGCTCGAGAACCAGACCCCGAGGTACTTGAACTTCTCCACCTGTTCCAGCGGGACCCCACTGACATACAGGGTGCACTGAGCAGGATTTCTCGAGAGGACCATGACATGACCTGTATCTTGGAGACGCTCAATTTCATTTCGGCTCCAGTGCATTCGGAGTCGAACCGATCGAGCACGCTCTGGAGCTCCTGTCGAGAGCGGGTCAAAAGGACGGCGTCGTCAGCAAAGAGAAGAATCCTTACCGCGACGTCACAGATGTTGACCCCCTCCAGGTCGAGGTTGCGCCTACAGATCCTGTCCATGTAGACGAGGAACAGGAAAGGTGAGAATACACAACCCTGCCGGAGTTCAGCGCGTACCAGAAAATCCGAACTCCTCCCGCTCACTCGGACGGAGCTTCTGCAATCGCTGTATAGGAACTGAACTGCCCGCAATAGCTGACCCTTGATACCATCCGGTCCTCAATGGTTCACCCGTCCACATCGCGAGGATGGACCCCAGTGATGCGGATGGCCGTAGTATCTCAGGTCCATCCATGTTGTAGGGGCTTCCGTTGAGGGTGACCAAGACGAACCAAATCCAGCATGACGAGTTCGGCTCGGGTATTCCATACTGGCTCAGTCGTCGCCCAGGATAATCAGGACTGTGATAGTCACTGTGCGTCCAGGGTGACTATTCATAAGTTGGCTACTGGGACCGGGCAATCCGATGTCTCTGGGTGTGTAGAACCCCGTCATGCTACATCCAGGCCTATCGGTTGGCTTGCCACCGGTCATAGTGTACTCTCGGCACGATGCCCCGAGGACAGACCAGGAGCGGAATCGAACGGTATTGATAGTGCCACGGGATACCCTTATGCATTGTCTATGAGCCAGAGGAGGCCACCAGACTCTGGTCTCCCATACGCGATTCTGGGTAGAAATAAACTGTCTGAGACCGGACTTCTCGTTTTGTGTCAATGAATCCAATGCTTCTAAGGGGTTTCTGTTAGTCATTTGCTATGGATATTTTCAGTTGTACGGGGAAGGGTCTCCTGAGAGTTTTTGAGGAGGCCGGACCTCCCTTGCCTTCCCTGATTGGGTGGTTGATGAAAAGCTTGTGAGCGATTCTGGAAATTTAGCCGTTACTGAGGGAAAGGGGCAATGGGTATTTGTCAGGAATTAAGTTGCCGAGGAACAATTGGTGTACCGAATCTGTAGATCACCAAACTCTTAGGCCATGCTTTGCTTCTCTTGGGTACACTGCATGACAATTAGTGTAAGTCTCTCAGTGATAGGATACCTTCTTCATACTGTATGTGACAGTACTGGAAAACAGATTGTTGCACATGATTCAGATACAGATATGTGAGAGTTTTGGAGGAACATTGCACTCCCAACTAATGAATATCGTCAGCTGACTTTGCTACAGTGCATCACAGAGAAGTATAATCGAATCCTATCCTGCAGTGTTTGCCCTCTTCTGGAATGTCATGCACCATACAACACAGCTACTGAGAATGAACCATTCAGCATTTTAACGATCTGAAGATTTTGTGTTTTTCATGAATCTCCTTGTTAAAAAAAAATGCCTTCCTCCATTGAAGTGAATTGCAGTCCTTGGTGTGAAGTACAACAAATGGAGAGGTCTTTGATCCATGAGCAATTAGCTATAAATAAATGGCTTTGTATCAAGGCTTCGGAACATAATTTTTTTCGTTCCGCGTTGCGTTCCGTTCCACCTGAACCCCATGTGTTCCGGTTTCTGTTCCGTTCTACGATGATTATTTTCGTTCCGTTCCGTTCCAGGTAATATTTCCGTTCCATTGCGTTCCGTTCCTTTTTACTGTTCCACATGAAAATTTAGCTCTAGCAAAAATTTTTTCAAATTCATATTGGTGGTACACCAGAAATTTTCTTCGAAAATCGCCATTGCAAAGGGAAAAATGGACTGGGTACTTGGAACGGAACGAAATTATTCCTTTTTTCGGGAATAAAAAATTTCGTTCCGCTCCGGTTTTTCGCTCCTCGGCCATACGTGAATAGTGTTCCGTGTTAAGTTCCGTTCCAGGAATTTTTCTCATTCCGTTCCGTTCCGAAGCAGTATGCTGTAAGTTATTTTGACTGAAGCCTTGTCAAGCTTCAAAAAAGAATATGGCAATTTCACTTCCTTTACTGTTTTTGGTCAAAAGTTCCGGTTGCTGTTTGCTTCCGATTTTTGCCATCCATCTTGAAGCTAATGCAGGGGCCATTCAAAAATTTCTGCAACTGGTCCAATAACTCCAATACTTCCTGACACTCACACTTCCTCTGTTATTGAGATTCGAAATAGTTTCCCTTCTCTTCAATCACACCATCCAAATGTCCTGGTAGCTTCTTGACTCCTTGTGCGAGGTGGTTTTTTGTTAATGCATATGATCTACTGGCTCACAGCAGCATCTACTTCCTGTATGTCAGAATATCAAGTCCCTCTCTTGGGTTCCTTGAGAAGGGAATAAAAATCAAAGACACGGGGGGGAAAGATCGAGATTGTAGAGTGATGATCCAAAACCTCCCAATCATATCTCCAACAATTCCGAGACAACATGGGCAGAGTGACAGCTGCCATTATCATGTGGGATGATTGGGCCACCCTCCAGGAGACCAGGTCTCTTTCTGGATTTCTGGGCGCAGTTTCACATGAACAAATTCCTTGTAATAATGCTGGTTGACTAGCTGGTTGGCTGACCCTCAATCGCATATAATAACACTCTTGTGGTCATATGACAAAATCAGCATTTCTTTCACTTTTGATTATTTTTTTGGTAATTTTTTTTTAGGAGAGCTTCAAAAATGAGCCAAGAGGGAAAACATGATATGATAAAATGTTTGTCATTCCTACATTAATTGCTTGAATTTCTTAAAATTTTGATATGATGGAAAAGATAGAATGACAGGATTAGTTAAAAACTGTAACCAAAAGTACTTTTAAAGAGTAACGTACTCAGCTAGGACATATTGAATGCTGTCAGTACTCTGACACTGTTGGGTTTTTCCTTGATTTTTCATAGGTACAGAGAAGTGGGGATTGGGAAGAAGATTGTGGAAAAGTTACGGGAAGAAGTGTCATCAGAGCATCTCTACTTTTGGCTCCATGGCCTGGCCCGGATGCTGAAGGCTGAAGAGTGCCTCCTCACCCATTCCCTTGATGAGGCCATTGTTTATCACCTGGATGCCCTCACATCCATCAAGGTACTCTTCCTGCTCCTGTACATCATTTTAAAATGCCCCTGCTGCTGCTGCATTCATCAGTCATGAGCCAGAACTTCAAAATATTTACTTCTCAAGCAACATTTGTACATTACATGTTGTATCATCATGGACCAACATCACCAAGCTCTGTATTGTAATTATTTCTGTGGAGTCAGATTCTAATGTCGTAAAAAGTAATTCCTGAAGGGTAAGAATCTTAGTAAAAGGGCTGCATTTGTCTCCTACAAAAGAAGTAGGATAGAAAAACAAGAAGTAAATTTGAAAAATTAATTCATTTGGTTCATGAATGCACTTTATTATTTACATGAGGAGAAATAAATGTGACAGAATGAAGTAGTTTCAGGTCAATAACAATGAAAAACAGTGGAAATAGTGCCATTTCCACTTTTCATGTATGTTTCTAAATTGTTGATAAAGCTAGGAATCAGGGTGGACTGTATGTTTTACCTTTCTACAATAGACCAGTATACTTCATTTTGTCCCACTCTGTAGAGGGAACTGACTGACTCCATTGAAGTAACAGACATAGGATTCACTAGGCTATCTTATATAACAAGCAATAAGGAGAGTGGTGGGAAGAGAGAATGTTGGGAGAGGGACAATGGAATGATTGCAGAGGTCCTCTTGGCAGAAGCAGATGTTGCCCTCATTATGTGGGGGATCATCAGAATGGTAGGAGGTGCAGCTTGGGATGATCTTCCTCTCATCATCTGGAAACACTCCCTTGGGTTTCCCTTCCCAACATCCATGCACCTCATCTAATGCACCTGCCATTCCAATATGAGAGTGCATCCAGTACTCTGTCCTTACATGCCTTTGGTGGATCAGCTTTGGTATCCTCATTTCATGACATCAGCTTGATAGAGGAAATTAATCAAATTCATGCTTTCATTCATGCCCTTCTACTCTATCAAGACTGGTGATGGTTTATGTAAATGAGAGTTGTCACAGACCACCAAACTCTTGCATGTGTTGCTCATCTTACAAAGTGTGAGATACACAGGCACATATACCAAGGCAGACTGAGAGTTGATGGTGTTGATGAGTGGATTCATTTTGGAAATCCACAATTATTCTCTGTTCTTATGATTTATGGAATATGATCAGGATCAGATCTGGAGAATATTAGTTGGTTGGTCACAAATACTTGGTCTCCAAATGAATGAGAATGTGTTTCACTTTGACTTGTCTACATTTTTTTTATGATTAGCCAAAAATGTTAATTTTGGTGGAAGTCATTCAACTGTTGGATAAGTCATAATGTGGGGGGGGGGGGAATGGTGACAATTATGCCATATGGATGAGAATAAAATCCTTATAATTTATTTTATTCTGTTGAAATATTATATTTGGAAAGTCATGCCTTGTCAGTCCAATAGAAACTTGAGTATAGATCATGGTCAGCTGACAAAAGTATCATTAGTCAGAATGCCAGCTGAAAGTTTGCCATGGAACCAGAAACTCTTTACACTTTCCTCTGTGAGCTCAACTTGTATAAGTTTGACTGCAAAAAAAATTATGCAATTCCTGCCAAGTGAAAGTGGACTCACAAGACTACTTTTTTTTTTAAAATCAGAAAGAGACTGCCTTGTTATCTGGTAAAATGGATACAGACAACATAATGCATGGATGCAGAAAACATTCCCTTGCAGGTTCTTCCTCTCTTCCTCCTTTAGATCCCCCCCTCTTTGGCTTTCTCAAACTTGGAGCCACTGCAGCTGATGTTTCTGAAGAATTTTGCAAGGCATGGGGTGATATTGCCCCTTGGAAAAAACAATTTATTGGTGGTTTGAGAAAGCCAAAGAGGGGGATCTAAAGGAGGAAGATAACCCACAGTGTGGGTGTACAAGGTCAACCTGAAATCAACAGCTCATTTGCAGTGTGCAGAAAATAGTGATGGATGATCCTCGCCTTTCTACTAGGGATATTGCAGATGCACTGGGTAGCAATAACACTACAATTCATCATGTGTTAACTGAAGGCCTTCAGCTTCAGGATGTCTGCTCAGTATGGGTACGATATGCTCTCTCAGACAAGCATCATGAGCTTCATGTCAACTGTGCTAAGGAATTATGCAGTATTCTTCATTCCCTTGGAGCTGATGTCTACAATTTTTACACTGTTCAAGATGAAACATGGATTCCATGGCAGCCATTTCAAACCAGATCAAAAAACTGTACATGGATTCCTCTTTAGCAGGTACAGTTTTCTGATTCAGTCTTGGTCGAGCGTTCGTATCGTGAGGACGTGTTGGATGATACTCTCGAGGTTCTGTCAGCTAAGTCGTGAGTTTGTTGTTACCTGGCTACTTTGTAGCAGTATTCACAGGTTTTCTGATAGCTACCTCCAACTTCACATTATATCAGTATCAATCAGCTTAATTACTTTAATTATTAGTGCATTACTCGTAGTATTCCTTATACTACAAGGACTAGGACAGGACAGTCTTACCGGGTTACAACTAGTGTGAAGTACTGCAATCAGGGATCAGGAAGGAGGTGGGCTGTGACAACTCTCATTTACATAAACCATCACCAGTCTTGATAGAGTAGAAGGGCATGAA